CACCGCTGCTGGTAGCATTTTCTTGAGGCGGCCGTACGTTGTGGTTGGAACGCCCGGCATCGGCAAGTCGCTGGCGGTGGGGTCCTTCGTGCTGTATCAGCTCCTGCACTACGACGCCGCCAAGATCCCTGTGGTGGCCTACTTTGTGGAAGGGTCAATGTACCTTTTTCGCAAGACGGGAGAACAGGCAGGGACCGTGGTGGAATATACAAACACTGATCAAGGTGCGTTGGTCGTCCGGGCGTTGGCTAAAAGGCATGTTGCGGGTTACTACATTTTTGATGTGACTAAGGGACTTTGTCCCCCACATAGGCTGCCCAAAGAGCATTGGGGTGGAATTGTGTTGACGTCGCCTGATAAAAACAACTATGAGGAGTGGAAGAAACAACGGCGTGCACTTTACATTTATGTCAACTGCTACACTCCACGAGAGATGAAGGCGTTCTATGCGTGGGAGGCACGCAACTTGCTGCGCGACTCGCACGGAAGCGCAAGAAGAAACACGAGACTTGAGGGGAGGTGGAAGACGGTAAAGAAACGCATTGATAAGGTTGGACCGCTCCCGCGCCATGTTTTCGATGCAAAGGACCTTCAGGATCGGTGGAATGCAATTTTGGCTGTGCTGTCTGGTACGTCCGACGCAGCCTGGAAGTACTTCGCGAAGGTTTTGTTTGGCAAGGTTGAGTGGCGCCAGGACGGGACAACGCACAAACTGATCAAGCTTGTGCGTGTGCAGTCGGTGGAGGGGGACGTGAATGCTGAGCGGAGCGATGAAAATGGGTCAGAAGAGGAAGAGGAGTCAGAAGAGGAAGAGGAGACAGGGGAGGAAGAGGAAGAGGAAGAGGAAGAGGAAGAGGAGACGAGGGAAGCGGAAGAGGATGAGGTGGAAAACTCCAGAAATTGTCCCGTTTCACGCGAGCTCGAAAAAAGATTGCGGCGACAGGTGATAACGGAGAACTTTCAGATGTCAGCTTTGCTGTCCGCCCTGGGGACGTGCAGCATAAATGCCGCTGCCGATCTTGAGCGCTTGGGCTGCTTGGCGTTTTTGATCAGCGGCGTCGTCGAGGCGGTTGCCCGCAAGATGAAGTATCTTCCCCGCACTGGGAGACGAAGGCGGGCCAGCGTGCTGGCGGACGGACACGCACGAGGTCGCTTTCCAAGCAGGCCCCGCTTGTTCGAGTACACGACGGGAGGGGCTCGGAACACTGTAATACAGAAGGTCGAACTTGAACCCGGTGTTCTGTATCTCCCCAATACACGTCTTTTCCCCGTGCTGGACGCGTTTTACGTGGTCGAGGTGCAGCGGGCGGCAGCTGTCAAGAAGAAATCCGGGCGGGCCAGCGACACTCCCACCGGTGGCCAGAGCAGGGCGAAGAAGACGACGTTTATCGGGCTACAGGTGACAATGCAATCTACCCACGACACCACCGCCAGTAAGATGGCTTCATTTATGAAATACATGAAGAGCAACTTCAATAACTGGGAGGTGCTGAAGGAAGCGATGGAGTGGGAGTTCATTTACATCCAGCACGCTGCGAGTACGCCGATGACAAGAAGACAGGAATGCACTATGACAGCGAGGGAAGGGAATCGGAGTCGGCAAGCTGCCAACAACTTCTGGGAGAGAAAGGTGGAACAGTACCAGGTGCAACTTGACGCGGAGATTGCTGCCCAGCTGGTGATTGCTGCCGTCAGCTCAAATAACGTGGATGTAGGGCGTGGCAGGGGTGTGGGGCGTGGCTCAGTTGTGGGACGTGGCAGGGATGCGGGGCGTGGCGGGGTTGTGGGGCGTGCGGTTCGCCGTCCGTCGTGAATGTGCGCCGAGTTGCGGGGGCGTGGGCTCCTCGTGTTTCAAGCCATCTGTTCAGCGCGTTTGTGCCTTTGTTGGGGAGTGCAAGGGGAGCGGCATGGCTGTGAGTGAGGGGAAATACAAGTATTTTTTCTCTGTGTGTTTCCCCGTCATCATTGAGCGGTGCACACTTGACATGACTGCGGTTGGCGCAGTGAGCAGAGTGGCGGCGTTGTGGGCGGGGGACTTCGCAGACAGAAGCCCGCGGGAGCACGTGCCCCCAGGCGGCGCCAAACAGATGAGTGATAGTTTTGTGCAGCTCCCCTGTTTCTTTGCGGATGGCTTTTATTTTTTGTTTTGTTTCCCGCGATGCCGCGCTGAAGAGCGGCGCAAGTGTTGTAGTTTTTTGCTTCTTTGTTTTGTTTTTTTCTTTTTTATGTTGTCACAACCCCCCGCTGCCGCTGCTGCGACGGGCGCCCTCCACGCGGAAGGGCGTCTGTTGGCGGCGGGCCCCGCAGACCGCCACTCGGTGAACCCCCAACGGGACCCCGGACATCACGGCCGTGAGTATTTTGGGCCCGTTAGTTGTGTGGCTGCGTGGGCGTGGGAGCAGCCTCGTTCTTTTCCGTGGGGGACGTTGGGGCGCACTGAGCCAAACTGTAATTTCCCCACTGTGGGGCCTTCTCTCTCCTTATTCGGGATAGGAACGATATGGTCTCGGTCGCAGAGGCATATTTTTATTTATTTAATTTTTTTTTTCTTTGAGCACACTTCCCGTGGTTTGCCGCTGCGTGGGCTGCGGTGCCGCCTCGGCTCTCAGTTGTCTTTTGCCTCCTTCTTTTTCCATCCTGCGTCGCCGCTGCTGTGTGTGTGTGTGTGCATCTCCGCGTGTTTTGTCCTTGCCGCTTCGCCGCGTGTCTGTAGGTAGACATAGCCCCACCTACACGATACAGACACGTCTATTGCCGTGCACGTGGATGTTGCTTTTGTAGTCGGCGCTGGCGGTTCCTTCTGCTGGCCTCTGCTGCCTCATTCCGCGGCTGTGAAGGAAAAGAATAGGCATAAGGAGAAGGCAAGAGGGAGGAAAGCGCACTATGGCTCACTCTCTTATTTTCCTTGCGGGTGCAGGGCGCTGCCTGTGGGGGTGTTTTGCCCTTTTCGTCTCAGCGGACTGCGGCACAAAATGCCGCCGCAACGAGGCAGTGTCATTTTCACCGTGAGTGGGTGATACCTTTGCGTAGTTGCACACGCGCACGCGGAGATACAGATGTGTGGGGGATAAGAGAGAAGAGAAGGAGCAGC